TCATGAAACAAGTTTTAACTGATGAACCTTTTCTGGTTGAGCCATGGAATATAATCCGTACAACTTTTTTGTAGATTTTAAATTGGTGGGGAAATTAAATGCACACACATTTGCATGAATTGGTGCATTTGAAATATGCTTGTTGCAGTGGTGTCTCAGTACCTTGTGCCTCACTGTGCAGATATGATTGAGGAGTTAATTGGAAGGGGACAACAGGTTGATGCTGTGCATTTTACATATGAAGTTGGCCTTGCCGACAAATTCCCACCTGTCCCCCTGCTGAAAGCTTTTCTGAAAGATGCAAAGAAAGCAGCTACATCCATTTTGGGGGATCCCAACAGTTCGGGCCGTGCTGCGGTGAGCTTTTGGTTTCTATATTCCAGATATTAATTTCTTTAGTTTTATGATTTTATATCCATTTTCATTTAGCATAAAATTCTTTGGCAATGTTACGATTATTTCTTATATTTATCTGTGCAACATCTCATTCCTTTTACCACTCCTAGCTCTACACTACTGATCCCTGAATTAAATTGTCCAGTTCCTCTTTCTCTATGTTCATGGAGTGTTGGCCAGCACATCCGCACATGCACGCGAAAAAATAAAGGAGACTTTTAGCTCGTGATAGAGAAAACGTTCCATATGGAATCTCTGTGATTCTACATATAATTAAATTAAAATCTAAAACCTGGGGGATAGTGTGTTTTGTAGTTTCTACTTTGTGCGTGACTTTTACAGACAAACGAGCCCTTCAGAACTTGTATCGTCTCAGTGGTTCACTTAATAGCATTTCTTGGCTAACAACACCAGCTTCATTCACAAACTATGCTTAGTTTTTCTTGTGATGGAACAATTTTTTAAGATCAAAAGTGCTTTCAAACACTACCTAAACATGTGCCACAACTCACTGGGCACTTCAATGCTTACAGGTTTGATTTAAATTACGAGTATGGTTCTTGGATGTGATAATTAAAAAACGATACACATTAGAGTTGTGACTCGTGAATGCTTGGCCTACCTATATTTACCCTCTTTCATCATTTTTCTCTCACAGCACATGGCCGCCAAGAAGGAGCAATCTGCAATCCGGGCCGTCCTCAAGTGCATCGAGGAATACAAGCTGGAGTCTGAGTTCCCGCCCGAGACCCTGAAGAAATGCCTTGAGCAGCTCGAGAAGGCCAAGATCGAGAAGAAGAGGCCTGCCAGCCCAGCAACCAAACGTACGCGGGCCAGCAATGGTGGCCCGATGCCTCCAGCAAAGGCTGGCCGCTCAACCAATGCCTACGTTTCGTCCTTCCCATCTCCCCCAACGTATATCAGGTCCCCTTCCCACACTCAATACCCTTCCCCAGTCCCAGCTTACCCTGCTGTGCCAGCTGTCTATAACAGGAGCCCGCCATTCGCTTATTCACCAGAGGCTCCTGCACCTGCAATTGTTGGATCATACCCAGTTTCACCTGTGAACTTCCCGGCTTATGGGATGCCACCCGCTTACCAGCAAGCTTACTACTGATCGACGTGACTGGGGCCCACTTGGAGGTGAAAGGTGACTAATGATAATTGTGACGACGAAAAATCCAAAAAGAAATTGTCATTTTAATTTGTCTGTAATCCACTAACCTTTGATGGTAGCTTTTGTTTATCTGTGTGTTTAATTTGTTGACCTTGACAAGGGGCAGGCTGTATTTTTCTGATTGTTGATGAAAACTTGTAGTTGTACTAGGTGGTGTGAAAAAAGTAATTTAAAAAGAAAAGGACGGTAACTTAGACTCTTCTAGACTAATACTTGGTAATCAGTATCGGTGGGCTGTTTTAGCATTATTTTTATGAGTTGTTAAAAGTCCACACGCAGGGGGTGATCTTCGAGCATGATTCGTTTATGCTGAAGAGACAAGGTGAATAGATGCATGTACTGTATTACCTGATTAGTCAATTGTTTGTTGAAAATCTGAGCTATTCGTGAATTGCTCAGTAATGGTGATCTTTTTGTTGTGGGGATCTCCAAGGAACCTTATTAATGTCCTGCTGGTGATAAAGAGAATACCTTGTTAAGGTTCGTTTATGTACATCTTGTGCTGGACACTTGAGGTTATGGAGGAAGTCATGGTATGTAGAGATCTTATAATTTAGTGGAAACCATATTGGGATAACATACTAAAAAATATGTTCCAAGCATTTCTCAGTTAACTTGATCTTTCTACAACCACTTTTAATGTAGCTAGAAATGCCCTACATGTATTTGTGCAGCATGACCTTGTGAAACCATATGCCAGGCTCAATTCGCAAAAACCATATGGACGCTTTGCATCCAATACCTCATCTTAAAAAAAAGCCCCTGCAGCCTTGATGCCCGTCGCCTCTCAACATTTTCCTGCTCTTGCACCTTAATTGTTGTCCTTTCCAAGGCTAAATCTCTCATCAGTTGTGAAGCAATACATGGAGAGGTCATGGATATCACTCATGTTCCTCGTCTCTTCTCATTATAGGTGGATGATTGGTGGTACGAGAAGTTGTTTCTGGCGAAGCGCCCCTAGGTTGGAGTTGATGAGTAGCCACTGCCTCGGCAATCATCCTTTCAAGGCTCTGCCCATGTTATCTGAATAATATGCTCCACCTAAGTGTCCATTTGAGCTCTCTCGGCTACTAGCTCACTTCTCTGTGTTCCAACTAGTGCTCTCGCTGCCTCATCATTACATGCATGTGTCTCCACGTTTGGGGACCATAGTTGCTGGGGTGGATCAACCTTTTTTTATGCTTGAACTACCACTTCTTGAGACCTGATCTGCGTCTCTTTTCCCTCATCGAAAGTGTCGACAATCGTTGTCCATGGCATTTCCGTGTCATCCCGTCACCCTTGCGACGGACATGCCTTAGTGGTCGTTTCACTAGCCATGTATCGTCGAAACTTCACCCTAATGTGCTTACTTTCTTTTTTCAGCCGTTTT